GACATTCAGTGTGGTCACATTTGGAAGAAAGACCAGGGAGAAGTCACACTAGTTGTACATAACCCAAGAATGGGAAGAATTTATACCCTTTCGTTGCTACGTAAATTATGACTGGTCTATAGGATCAGGCTTCATGTTACTTCCGTTTTAGTACCAACTTCCCTCACACTGACACTTCCTCTGGGCTACCCCTATCTGCACTGTATTTGGGAGCGCTCTTCTGCTAGAGAGCTCGGGTATTACTGTGTTGTCTGAATAGCTGTAGTTGAGTAAACAATGTTTTGGGGAAGAAATCTCCCTCCTTTCATTCCCCCCTTTCTTAATTGGTGTTAGCCCAATCTACTTTCTCAGTTTGTCACTCTTGGAATATCATAGAAACAATGGAGTTCATTTCTCCATTCCATTAATCCATCCATCCATGCATCCACGCATCCATCCATCCATCCATCCATCCACACATCCATCCATCCATTTCATAGCCCCTCCCTGAGTGTCCACACGGGCCACACTGCAGGAATGCAGGGGCTCACAGTGCAGCACAGGCTTGGGCCTTGCCCCATGTCATGTCCCAGGGCCCAGAGAAGGCTTGTGTTGCAGATAAACTAAGTATTTTTGATAGTCTCCCAGGTGACTCTGCAGCTGATAAAATTAAAAAGGGTGTTCTTTGCTTGGAGACAATGAAGTTCATATCAGGGCAAGGATTAGAGACCCTCGTGACAAGGACTGTGGACAAACCACATGAAATCTAGAAGCCTTTTGCCCTCCCGACTGTGCTGGGTCTATTCTCAGATGGGGTATGGAATCTTGTGAGCCAATTCAGGCATCTCAGGAATTACTGGCCTCTACTTTGGTTTTTAATCTTCTGGTTGGCTCAAGACACTGTGACCTTGGTGTTCAAGGGTCTTAGCACTACACTCCTGCACTTAGGGGAAGCGTCATGGGCTCTAAAAGCCCTTGCAGTAGGAACTCTTTTCCTCACCATCCCTAACCATGTTGGCTCATCTATGCTAGTTCTTAGTACACTTTTGTGAGTGAGTGAAGCATGCTTACCATCCAGGTTCTTAAACCAAGGGCACAAGGCAACAGTGCCCACCCACCCGTTTCTCCCTCTTCCACCACAGTGGAGACTCTCCTGCTGGATCTAGTGTCAGTCGCCATAGCAGAAGGAGCTCTGGACTGCCTGGGTTCTAGCTCTTGTTGGTCCTCAGTTTCTCACTCTTGGGGGAACCAAGACATCATGGTTCATTTCTCAGAGCATCATCCAAACAAGGAGGAAGCGCCAGCCCATGAGTTTCTCTGTCTTCTTCTACAGCCTTTGCCTTACAGCTGTCTCCAGAAGCAGGCTGTGCTCTCCCCTGGCCTTTCCCACAACCTCGTTCCTTTAGGCAGTGGGCTTACTCATTACTACTTCAACTGCCTGTATCTGAACAAAATATAAACACTTCTCAGTCATTGTATTTCTATGGTTGGTCTTTGTTGAGCAGAAGGTTACTTTTTGTTTTCTAAAAATCCTAGACTTCTTTTACCGGAGGAACTACTATGTCGGGAGGATACTTAATATTCTCTAGTTGAAGACCCTCAGCAGTGAATATTACTCCCCCCTTTCCCTCTATGAATCTTGGAGAGGTGATGGAAATAGTGCTTCATAGGACACTAGTACAGTGGGAGGCTCCCTGATAAATCCTTGATACATTTGAACACATGTAATTTCCAAAAATTTTACATAATTATTAAGACCACCGTTAGGCTGATGGATGCCAGTATCTTCATTTGAATATGACTCTTATTTTCAGAGTACATTTGTATGCTATCTCTTCATCAAGGAAGCCAGTAAAACTATTATTAATCCATTGCCTTGTTTTATTCTTATAGCTCATATTATTGTACAAAGGCTACTTTAAAACCACCTGCTTTGCTCCTGTATTTGTATGTATTTAATTAGAAAAAATACAGATATATTTACAAAGACTTGCAGAGATAATATAGAGAGATCCTGTGTACCAACGGTCCTCAGCCTTGAGGGACTTCTTCCCTCCACTGCTCCTGAGGATATTTCGAACTGTCTGGAGGTACTCTGGTATTACAATTGGATGTGCTACTGGCCTCGAGCGTGTAGAGGCTGGGGATGTGGTACACATCCTACAAAAGAATAGACAGCCTCCCACAAGCAAGACTTACCCAGTCTAAAATGTTAATAGTGCTGAGTTTGAGAAACTGCTCTAGACTCTTCACTCATTTCCCTAATGCTATTATTTTAAATAACCATGATAGATATATCAAAATTAAGGAACTATCATTATTTCAATATTATTAAACTAATGGAATTTTTCAGACCTACTTCCCTTTTTTCTAATGTCCTTCTTCTGTTCCAGAACCTATGCCTCCTCGGTGATCACCCCAGCGATGGAGACAGTTTCTCCATCTTCCTTTGGTTTTCATGAACTTGGTCTGCCTTGGTTTTCAGGACCATGACACTTTGGAGGAGGTTTATAAGTGTTTCTTATGTGGGTACGGTTCTGACCCCATCCAGGTAGCATATGGAAATGTGTGTTTTGGACTACATCTATGCCTGGGGAGTGTTGTGGCATTTAGACGGCAAGGCTGAGAGATAATCAACATGGTGCTAAGCTCAGGACAGTCCCATGTAATTAGGAATCTCCTACTCAAAATACCACCAGCACCCTCGTGGACACACTAGATCTCAAGCCCTTTCTAGCAACTCATGTAGAGTGAAATGCCTTGTCTCAAGTCTAGCAAATGGCAGATAGTAAACTTCAAAACACACACTTGATTTCTAGAGGTTCAGTCCAGGACATTTTGTATCTAACAGTAACTGTCAACATTGAAAATGTTTCAGCAACAATTTGAATCTTCTAGAAATCTTTATATCTAGGTAGATAAAATATTTTCAATCTCTTTGCCGAGGTGCTACATGAAAGCATGAGTTGCCACCAATGGAAACCCCGAGTAAAGAACTTGAATTCGTAGTAAAGGATGGTGTAGTTCCACAGTGATGGGGACACAGGCAATTACGTGGGGTCACGGTTGTGTTGGTGGACTTGTATGTGTCCTTCCTCCTTCTTTATTTTTCCTTATAGCACTTCTCCACACCTGCTAGTGTGTCCATTTATTTAGTTGTTTATCTTCTCTCTGCACCCCCTTAGAAAGCAAGCTCCATGGGAGAAGAGACTTTGCTTTGTTTATTCTCTGACTCTCTAAAGGGGGATGCCGTGAAATTCATGTTTGAACAGGATTTAAAGAGGCTTTAGATGGAAAGAACAATGCAGGCAAAGCGTCCAGATGACCTCTTACCCGGTTCCTGGCTTCCCCATTAATCCAGCAATATTACTTTGCATTTGTTTAAATTCTGTAAATGGCATGTGCCACACATAATATACCACTCCCCATCTTTTCCACTCAGCAGTGTATTTTGAGATGTAACCTGTCGTTAAAAATATGGAGTTCAGTGATTTCCAACTGGGGGTGATGTTTGTCCCTCTGGAGATATTTGGCAATGTCTGGAGATGCATTTGACTGTCACCACTGGAGCTGGTCCTATTGATATCCGGGCGATAGAGGCCTGGTGTGCCGCTCAACATCCTGCAGTGCACAGAATTACGTGGCCCAGTAGCCCACGAGTGGAGAATCCTTGGGCTCCTTCTTTCCTTCAGTTTGTGGAACAGTATTCCCTTGATAGCACATAGCATGTTTGCTTTATCCATCCCCCTGTGGGTGGGCATTTAGGTTGTTCCAGTTCTCTGCTCTGACAGAGTGCTGGGAAGAACATCCTCACCTCTCTGTGTGTGGGGGGTGTGTGTGTGTGACGTGTGGTGTATGTGCTGTGTGTTGTGTATGTGTGCTGTGTGTGGTGTGTCGTGTGTGTGTGTTTGGTGTGTTTGTGTATGGTGTGTATGTAGTGTGTGTGGTGTTAGGTGCTGTGTGTGTGTGGTGTATGGTGTATGGTGTGTGTGGCATATGTGGTCTGTGTGTGGTGTGTGTGTGGGGGGCGTATTTGGTGTGTGGTGTATGCGGTGTGTGTGTGTGTGTACACTCACGTGGAGGAGAGTTTCTCATAGTCACACTCTGCTCTAGGAAACACTTCCAAGTCCTGCTGCAGATTCACACCCACAGCACTGCCTGGGGTTCCAATTCTCAGCATCTTTACCAGCATTTCATAGTATTTAGCATTTTCATTTTGTCAATCTGAGAAGCTTAAAAGAGTAGCTTATTTTTAAAAAAATTTACATTTTCTGATGATTAATAGGGCCAATCTATTTGAATCATTCACACTCCACAGCATTCTCCAAACCTGGGGGAAATGTTTTGGCCAAACATGTACCACTTCGGTTTGTTCATCTCTGTATCTTTGCTGTGTTTTAAATTTTTAAAAAATGTGGTGCTTTGTTTTTCGAGTGCTTTCCGCTCCACCCCCGCCCCCCCTCCCACACCACCCCCTCCACCTCCCTCTGGAATATATGGCAATGTTTGGAAATATTTTTTTGTATTTACACAATGTGGGTATGCTGCTGGCCCCTAGAGGATAGAGGCCAGGGATTCTGCTAAAACCCTACAATGCAGAGGACAGCACCCAACGAACAACAAAGAATTATCTGGCCCCAAATGTTTACCGTGCCAGGGTAGAGAATTCATGGTGTCGACGAAATCCTAATATATGTACCTTTGCAAGAAAGACAAAGACACTCTGTATGATAATGAAGTTGTTTATTATTTTAAAAATAAGAACACCGTTTTCCTCTAGAAACTGGGATTATAGGGGAGAAGCATGCCTTCCTGCTAAGAGTGTTTCCAGGGAAAAGGCAGGAGGAGTGGGTGAGCAGGAGGAAGGCAGAGGTTTTGAAAGCAGCGGTGTTTCTTCAGTGTGGACTCTGCAGGGTCAGGGGAGGTGGGTCTGGGTGCTTGGAGGGCCTGCCTGCTGGGGTGGTGAGGGCTGACTGGTGGGGTCAGTCCCTCATGCAGGGGTAGAGCAGGGGTCAGCAGGGTAAAAGAACTGTGGCTTTGAGTCTCAGGAGGTGGTGGGGACAGGGCTCTGGCTGAGGATTCAAGGGGGGACCCCAGGCTGCAGGAGGGCCCAGGCCCTGGGGAGTGCTGATCATCAGCTCCTCAGCCGAGGCCCGGGGACTCTGCGGTGGCCTGGTGGTGCCCTGGCAGCAGGTTAGGCCCGGGGTGGGCGTCTGCTCCATCACCAGGATGCCAGGAGCAGAGGCCCCTTCTCAGAGGCCCAGGCCTGGGCACAAAGGAAGGGACCACTCCATCTTTCCACACAGGCTTGAAGGCAGATGGCCTGGCCCCTGGGCTCGGCCTCCTTCTCTTGGCGTGGGGGGCTTCAAACTGGAGAGGTCTGTGGATCCTCTTCTTTCCTTTCCTGCATGGGCTCCGAGCCCTCAGCCGGGTCTCCTTGGCACAGGAGTCCGGCTGCTCCTGGATGGGTGGACCCCTGAAGCTCCCACTGCGCTCAGCAGGAGTGATTTTGATGGTCGCCATGTTCCAGATGTTTAGGAGGTTCCGGGCTTTCCAAAGCCACTGCTTCATGAAACTCTCGCGGTTGCTAGAGAAATCCAACCCCAGGAAGGTGTGGAGGGGTGACTTGCCGTGAAAGCGCCTCCAGGCCTTGGGGACTATCGCCCTCTGGACTCTGGGGTGGTCCAGGTGGGGCGGCAGGGTGGGGCGGGGCCGGCGCCGGATCCAGCGCTCCCGGTGGATGGAGATGACTTGGCTCTGAATCGGGCCCAGGGGGCGGTGGGCCAGCCTGGGCCGCAGGGACCGGCACCTCCAAGCGGGGCGTGGCAGCGCGGCCTTGGCTGTGCCCAGGTATCTGCCCACGTATCTGCTCAGGTAGCTGCCCATGTTCGCGGTGCGGTGGGGTCGGGGACTCCGACGAGGAAACCCGGCTTCCACAAGTGCCCCAAGTGTCTGCGGACACGGAACTCGCAGGGCTAGAGCGACCGTTGGTATCAGGGCGCGAGGGCGGCACGTGGGGTCTCACGTGGGGAACCCTCTGGACACGGGTCCGGCACGAGCCAGGCCAGGGCCCCGCGGACGTGGCGACTGCCCCGGGCGCCTGCCGCTACTGAGGACAGGGGAACCTCCAGCTCCCACTGCAGGTCCCAGGCGCTTGGCTTCTAGGCAGAGGGGCCACGAGGGCTTCGGCTTTTGTACCTGACACTGAAAGGGAGAAAATGTAGGCATTTCGATCAGGTCCTGAAAATTACAGAAAACCGATGGAATGACACTCTCCTTCATTACTGTATAAATGAACATAATGCACTTGGATGCTCTTTAAAAGGAAGAGGAATCTACGTTTATTAGTAAAGGGGATTTGTGCTTCCATCTTCCAGAATGGTTGCTAGTGTCCCTTTTTGCAATTGTGCTCTTAAGAAAATGGTGAATGCCATTCATGATTTATGTTTTAGCCCTGACAACGTTGAGTTATGTGGACTCTCCTATAATTTTCAACCTTTATATCTTTCATACATTCATATATAATTGTCTCCAATCTGAACACTAATGTCATTTCTTTCCTGTCATATCTACTGGTAATGTATGTATACAGAGTGGTGTGGCACATTCCCAATTGACATTTGGAAAGCAGGTAATTGCAGAAACCGTGTTTAAAGGCTGCTGGAAATTGGTGATAGCACTTCAGCTTGGCGCTCCAGTACTGGAGTGGGAGAGGAACGGCGGTGTGGCCAACACAGCAAGCATGTATTGGAGCAAGGGGTGGCAACTGATTTGTCTGGATCTGAGATGTGGAAGGCGGGATGAGACTAAAAAGAGCTTGATGAGGAAACACCAAAGGCATCTGTGGTTCAGAAAGAGGCCCAGTGTTGGGAAAGTAGGGGTGCTGTCAGCTAACAGGTGATGGAGAATGAGATCCTTAACACTCTCTACTGTGTACTTTTTGTTATTTTTTCATTTTGGTAGATTCTTATTTTGGGAATGATCCCAAGTATCTGATTTTGAAACAAAGGAAATTTCCTGTTATTTTCTTCTTAATAAGGCATTTCTTAAAATGGTAGAAATGGCTTCATTCATAGCTAAGACACCTTTTAAAATGATAATAACACCAGAGTGGATATTCTAATGGAATTAGTCATTATTTGCTTATAATGTATTTTTTTTTTCACCATCATCTGCAGAATTTCCCACGTCCTACTTTGCAATGTAACCCAGCGGGTGTCATTCTGGTTTGTGGTTACAGATCCTTCAAAAAATCACACCCTTCCTGCTGTTGAGATAGAGTCAGCCATAAGGTAATCATCACTAAATATGTCTTCTACTGGTATATCAGCTTGTTGATTGATTTGACTGTTTTCATAAATTTTGAAGAATTCTCTCTCTGCTTCACAATGATTTATTTATTAATATGTGAAAGATTTAACTTTGTTAGCTTGTATTAAGGATTAGTTTGGATCAGTGTTTCTCATCCAGGGACAATTTTGCCTCCAAGGAGACATTTGGCAATGTCTGGAGACATTTTTGTTGTCACAATTGAGATGGGGGAGGTGGGGTCTTAAATAGACAGAAGTTAGGGGTGCTGCTAAACATCCTACTATGCACAGGACAGCACCTCAGAACAAAGAATTATTCAACCCCAAATGTCAATTATGCTGTGGCTGAGAATCCCTGGTTTAAATATTAGCTATGAATGTTCAGTGCTATCTTCCTTCGGCAAGAACATCTTGTACGGTGCTGTTGTGTGATGATTTATCACATGGATTCTAGAGCCCAAATGCGTAGGTCTTAAATTCTGGTTTTGTTTCTTGATTACAGACAAGTTACTTCCCCTCATTTTGTTTTCCTCTTATAATCTATAAACGGGAATAGTTATGGTACCTCACTCTCAGAGTTGCTGAGAAGGTTAAATGAGTTAATAAATGTAAGGTGTTTTGAAGGACAAGTCATACCTTTGACTTTTATTTGAAAACCAATAAAAATAGTCTCATTTTTTGGGTCTCTAAGGACTTAGCTTCTTTAGTTAATGTACAGTCTTTGCCTTTAAAAGATACTTTTTAAAAAACAAGATAAGAGCATGACTCTTATACAAATGAAAAATAAATGCCACTAAAGATTTTATTGTCTCATTAATTAATGAGGGAACCAGTAAAACCAGTTCAAAGGAGACTTCAAGGAACCATGCATCTATGGGAATCAAGGAATGGTGATGTCCATTTACAAAAAGATGCACCCTTCTATCCATCAGGTAGTGATCAATCATATTCTACCAGACACAATTCACTTGATTTTCTCTGGACGAAAATCATTTACATTATGTCAGTTTTCTACCACTTACAGATCTGCAAAAATAACTCAAAGACAAATAGAAGGTATAAATTGTCCAGAAAGTTGTATTCACCAGATAATCAGTAATATTTTTTACCCATTTCAAATTTTACACAGTTTTTCCTGAGAGTTCCTCTCCGCCTCTCCTTGTGATCATAACAAACTTTCAAAAGTGAAGTGCATTCTTGACTTCAAAGAAGGATGCAGTTTGTTTTTACTTCAATCAGTGTGCACTTTATGCATGTAAACTTCCCATCCTTCAAATGATTAATGTTGGGCAAAGGTATATTGGAAGAATGAGTTCAGAAAATAAACTATTTCTGGAAAAAGAAAGAATGAAACAAAGTAACTCCCCTTACAACAGACTTACAAGTTACTGAAATGCACATTATTCTCTTTACCAAGGAGAAATATCTAGTATAAGAACTCATTTGCTCTCTGTAAAATATTAACATTTAAGATAATGAGTATATAATTAATGCCAAAGGTTTTTGTGTGAACAATAATCCATTTCCCTTGCCAAAGCAAAGGCCTTGAGGATCTATATAGTGGGAAATGATTTAATCTGCTTTAACAAGAAGGTTTGAACTACATTGTTCCTGTGCTTTTGCCACTAAAAAATATTAAGACCCACCACTTAGGGAATAAGAATTAAGAACATTGTATTTCACATGGAAAGGAATTTTATTTAAGCCCTCCCCCATGATCTGGGAGGGCTACAAGGAAATGAAGGCACTGCGGTGAAAGCAGGCTTCCATTAATGTGAGGGAGAAGAGTGAGTGTTGGGGGTAGAGGCGGAGGATATAGGTGAATATGTCCACAACAAAATGTCTCTGTCAAAGGTCCTAGCAGCAGAAGCTACTTAGGGGGTGAGGATGGCTGAGAGAATGAGAATTTATGTTAGGGATAGGTCTCATCAGTATTGTATGAAAATAAAGGGAACGATACCAAGAAAGAAGGATAGCATGAAAAGCAAGGGGACAGCATCTAGAGGACAGGTAATAGGAAATTTCAAGGCTGAAGAATCTGCGGAGTTGGGCAAAATAATGCTAGTTCCACTTAATATTTGCATAACCCTTTCTGCTTCATAAAGTGTGTTCCTGCACATCTGTGGCATTTAATGTCAGCGCCAATCACTTTTGAGTAATTATTTTTTTAAAGATTTTATTTATTTATTTGAGTGAAAGAGAAAGAGGTGAGGGACAGAGGGAGAAGCAGACTCCCTGCTGAGCAGGGAGCCCTACGTGGGGCTTAATCCCAGGAATCCGGGATCATGACCTGAGCTGAAGGCACACGCTTTACTGACTAAGCCACCCAGGTGCCCCTGAGTGATTATTATTATCCCTGGTTTATAAATGAGGGAATTGAGACTCAGGGAGACTAATTGATTTGCTGAGGCCACCACACTAGAAAAATGAAGAGTGAGGACTTGAACCCAGGCATCTGCCATCACATCCAGTGGTGTTTTTTCCTCTCCCCCAGAGTGTCCACACCTATGAGGTTACTTGAGGGAATGACCCACCAGTTCTAAGATGTCTGTTTTAGCTCTGTTGTGAGGGCCTGGCCTTATCAGGCCAATCTTGGCTGGAAGATATCCATGTTGTTGACACCCATGGGGGATTTCAGTGGTGGTTGGAGATTTAGTCTGTACTGATCTAGAACTTCTAATCAGCCAGAGAGGCAAAAGAACAGCAAAGTGTTCACTAACCAGGTAGATAGAATGAGAATACAGAGCAACATCTCATTTTACTCTGAGCTATACTTTGGTAGTGGGGTTCATTATTTTGTAGAGAGGTTTGTGTTCCCAGATTATCAATGATAGGTTATGGAAAAAGGAAACTTTCCATAGTTTGACAATAGCCAAACTATGGAAAGAGCCCAGATGTCCATGGATAAAGAAGATGTGTGTGCACATGTGCATGTGCGCACGCGCACACACACACACACACACACACACACACACAGGAATATTACTCAGCCATCAAAAAGAATGAAATCTTGCCATTCGCAATGACATGGATGGAACTGGAGGGTATTATGATAAAAAATTACATTGGAATTATCCCCTGCTATAGATTATCTGGCTGGGATTCTTTTTCACATTCGTGAATAATCATGCCTCACTGATTTTTATTTGCTAAAGGAGGTCTCTCCTGATAGCCTAGTGCTGATCTGCAGAGATTCTCAAGCCGTTACTGTCAGATTCAAGACCTACACTGTCCAGGATGGTAGTCAGCCCCCATATGTGACTATTGAGCACTTGAAATATAGCTAGTCCAAGATTAGATACACCCTAAGTGTAAAGTACACATCAAATTTCAAAGATTGAGTACAAAATAAAATGTGAACCAACTCAATATTGATGACATTGAAATTATATTTTTCTGGATATATTGGGCAAAAAAATTATTAAAATAGTTTTGGGGTACCTGGCTGGCTTGGTCAGTAGACCATGTGACTCTTGATCTTAGGGCCGTGAGTTCAAGCCCCATGTTGGGTGTGGAGCCTACTTAAAAAAATTAAAATAATTCCACCTGTTTCTTTTTACTTTTTCTTAAAATGCACCTCCTAGAGAATTTGAAGTCACACATGAAGCTCACATTATATATGTATTTTCCATTGCTGCTCTAGAGGCAGATGAAGTCAGCTTGTCTAGTGTGAATTCAGTCAAGGCCATACAATATCCCCAAGAAATGTCCTCATCTAGTTTGCAAATTCCAGTTAGAAATTCACTTAATTTCTTTTCAGTCAAGTAAGTCTTCACTATCAACCCCTCCCTAATTGCTGCCACCACCAAAAATGCAGATTTTCTCCGGGGAAGAGTAACTCATTTACCTGGATATTTTTCTAGAGTTTTGGACTTCTCAAACGCCAGTGACTTTAGTTGTACGAAACTTGTAGTTTCCTGAACAAATCTACTATACCCTTGTCTCCAATCCTGTGCTCACTATACACTTTGGTCTCAAGAATTCCTAAACAAGAATTCCAAAGCTCAAAAGTTGCTTTCTCAGGAAAGCAGTCCTGACTTCTTGCTATGATGTTCTTGGCCATCCCCTGTCTCCCATCGTGGTCATACTTAAGCTCTGTCATGGAACATCTTGCACTGTGCTGGGATTGTGGAGGGACTGAAGTGCCATCCTTCCAGACTGCACTAGACTATAAGC